GAGTACTATGATCAGTGGGCTGATCGAATGGAGGATTACTTGAACGGATTGGACGAGGAACTCTGGAGCTACATTATAGGAATAGCTCAACCTCCACCAAATGTTCAACATATTGGATCATCTGGATCAACATCTGCAGTTACTGATCAATCCACCAGGCTGAAGAACAACGAAAAGCGTTGTTTGAGAGAACTGAGATGTGCTTTGCCACCTGTTGTTTACAATTACATCCGTGGTTGTAAAACTGCAAAGGATATCTGGAATACTCTTAAGGAAAAGTATCAGGGAAGCAAGAAAACGAAGATAAACTCTGTTAAGCAATGTCTTGTGGAGCTGAAAGAGTTCAGACAAAAAGAGAGTGAAACGATTGAAGTTTACTATGATCGTCTTAATGAACTGATCTATAGATGCAATCGTTATGGAATCATCAGGTCATCAATGGAGTTCAATCTCACTTTTGTGATGGGACTTCGTAAGGAGTGGAGAAGTGTCAGCATGATGGTGAAGAATCAACAAAGCTTCGATACTTCATCTCTGAATGATGTGTATAATCAGTTTAAAACTCACAAAACTGAAGTGAATGAGATGGCTGGAGAGTCGAAACTGAGTTTGGGTGGTCCGTTAGCTCTAGTTTCGAAAGTGTCTGAGAAAGAAGCTGTTGAGAAAGATGGTTCTGATGAAGAAGGCTTTCTAATGAATTCTGATGATGAAGCGGTTGATTTTTACTCGAACAACCGAGTTAAAAAGTTTTTCAAGAAACCTTTCAATCCTAAGGTGAAGCAGAGTGATGTTAAAGGAAGTTTCGTGAATAAGTCTGTGGGTGAGGAGAAGAAGAAATTCGAGAAGAATGATGTGAAGGCAATTGAAGCCAAAACTGAAAAGAAACTTAAGGGAGATTTGGGCATTGACTGTCATTACTGCAACGGAGCAAATCATTTGGCTAATGATTGTATGCTTCGTAAGAAAGAGGAGAAAAAGAATAGGGTCAATGACGAAGCCTAGTATGTTAAAAGATTGGAAGAAGTTCGTGCAAAGACGAAGGGGTTATCTTTGGTTGCTCAAGGCGAAGGTGATGAGGATGACACTTATCAGATCTGGTCTTCAGGGTCTGACGATGAAGAGATGCGTAATCTGACGCATGGTGCTATGTTCGCACAGTTTGAAGAGGATAAGGACGAAAAGGTGACCGGTCGCCGTTTCATGATCAAATCAGGAGACAAATCACCAATGACTACCAAGGTACGTGTTATTCTTCAATCTTTTAACATTCCTTTACAAGCTTATGATTCTGAAATAATTGCATTTGATGATACTGTTGCTTACTTTGATACAATTGTGGTGTCTGCTAGTAATGAAGCTAAGAAACTAAACATCCAATTGCAACAGACCCAAAAATTGTTAGATTCAATGAGAAGCAGAGTAGAGTATCTGGAATTACAAATTACAAATATCATGTGCGATAGGGATTCGTTAAGCAGTGATGTTAAAATGTTGTTAGCTCAAAGAAACATTTATTGTAATTCAGCAAAGAGATTATATGCTAAATTGAATGCTTTGCATCATTCGTTTGACATTAGAAAAGAACAACATAGGAAGTTATTACATTTTCTAGCTTTCGAAAGAGAGAAAATTTATAGCTTGTCTTATGATTGTGAGAAAACCATAGCAGAATTCGATAAAGTGCCTGATAATCGATTTGCTTATGGTATTGTTAAGATAGATGAATATTTGAATGCTGATGAACTTGTTGAGATTGTGAATGATACCTTAACCAAAAGTGAACAAATCAAAATTTTGAAAAGAACTGAGAATTTGAAACTTGACTCTCAATCAAATTTCGCTGATGTCGATGATAATTCTGATAGTTTTAGCGAAATCAGTGAAATTGAAGAGGAAGAAAGTATTGATTGTTCTCAGTTATCTGTCATTAATGTCACATCTAAGTCAAAAGGTAAAGAAATTTGTGATGATTCGATGGTTAAGGATGACACTGATAGACCCTCTACTTCGAAAGTGTGTAATTTTGATAATGTGAGTGTAAGAGACAGTTAAACTGATAGTAGTGATGATGAGAATGAAGAAAACGTTAAGAATGTTTCGAACAATTCTGAGCAAGAAAAGAATGTTTCGAATGAAACATCCATTCCACGGGTTGTTGTTGATCAAGTGTATGGAGACACTGAAAATTTCGACAAAATCATATCTGACAAAGGAGCTCATTATTTGGAAACGAATACTGTTGTGTATCCAAATTTTAAGTGCACAGATGATGTTGTATTTCCGAATCAAGTGTTTGTCACTACTGGAAATGTTGATAACATCAAACCTGAGTTCAACAAAATGGTCGAAGAAGATAACAAGAAAACATCAAAAGAAGGATTCTTTTCAAACCAAAGCATTGTCGAAAATAATCTAACAAAGAATTCGTATGTTTTTCAAAGACAAAAACCACAAAGAAAATGGGTTGATAAACAAGAAATTACAAAAGAGGTTTTGAAACAAGAATCTAATGAAACAAATGAAAATGTGAAACATAATTCACAAGAATTTAACGATCTTGTTGAAAAATTTTCGAATGAAAAAGGAATTTCAAAAAGACAAGCACGAAAAAGAATTTTTTTGGCAAGTTGTGTCCAATGAAAAACAATCAAACTTACCAACAAAGAAAATGTCTGAAAACGAGTTGCCTAAATCAGTGAAAACAAAGATTTCAACTTGTTCGAATAAAAAGGAAAATCCCGCTCAACCAATTTCGTCTGATACTGAAAAATCTTCAACAAAATCTTCAAAATCAACATTTTCAAAGACTTTTCAAACAAATGTGCAACAAAAGAATTTTCAATCACAAAACCAACAAAAGTTTTCAACTCCAAATTCATCCTTTTCAAAACCAACAAACAAACAAAACCAATTTTCTTCAAATAGAACAATCGAACTTTTGAGAATGTTCGAAAATTTGACAATGTTCGAAAATTTGTGAATATTCGTCATTTTGACAATGTTCGAAAATTTGAGAATGTTCAAAAATTTGAGAATGGTCGAAAATTTGAAAACGTTCGAAAGTTTGCAGACCATCAAACAGTTGTGCATAATACTTCCACAAAATCTACAAAGTTTATTCCACAAAAAACCAAATTTTTCGAATCATTCTGCACACAAAGCCACTAAAGTTTCGTACACAAGAGGATCGTCTGGGGTGCAAACAATCAATCATTGGCTTGAAAACAAAGGGAAAACTTATCAAACGGGAAAGTTTTCTCAACATCAAATCCAGTAGGCCTATGACCAGATTTGAATGATACTTCATCAGGAAGTTCATCTTCGAAATAATCAAATACTCCAGTTCAAAAATGGCAACCAATCCCAAAGGAAAGACACACTGAGAAACAAGAGACGAAAATCAGTGAAAATCCAAAACTATCGAAAAATTATGTTTCGACACCTTTAACTGATGATGTCGACTTAATTGATTCTTTCAAAACTAAAGTTCGAAATTGGGCTTTAGGTTCTAAATTTCATTTGTTTTTTCAAACTAATAACCAAGGACCCAAACAGTCTTGGGTACCTAAATTCTTTTAATGAATGCAGGTACTGTGTGACGAGCAATATGATGAGAAATTGTACATTGATAGTGGTTGCTCACGTCACATGACAGGAAGAAAGGAGAACTTGAGAGATTTTAGAAGTTTGGAAAATGTTGGTGTTGTGAAATTCGGGAATAATCACAAGTGTCAAGTAAAAGGATATGGGAAAGTAACGAATGGACAGTTTACTGTAAATCGTGTTGCTTATGTTGAAGGTCTTCAACATAATTTGATAAGTGTTTCACAACTTGTTGTGGGCACTGGTAATCAAGTTGTGTTTAACGAAGAAGGAAGTATCATCTCCAATGTTGATACGAAAGAAGTATTGCTAAAATCAAAAAGATATGGGGATATGTTCACTCTTGACATC